TTCGTTAGGGCCAGTCCCCTTGACCTGGGAAGCCATCTCCACATGAGATCTACTCTTTGGTGCTATTCACACATTCAAATCCAAATTTCTCCCCGAGGTTGCTGAATGGCCACAGAATATTGACACACCACTGACCCTTAAGCACTCCTTCCCTCAAAGGCTTCTTTCTCTTGCCCTTCTCCTCAGTTCCCAGTCATATCCTTTCCTGTTCTCTCTCCCACCCTATCCCATCATGTATACATAGTCACTCTGCCAGCCCTGGTAGGTTTAAAATCTTCACAGCATAGGTCTGGAATATGCTAGAGTCTCCCAGCACCTAAAGCTCTGGAGGCTACAAGGACATGAGACCAGATCCATACCTATCCAGAAATGAGGAGTTGGAGACTTTAGAAAACCAGACTTCAGAAAAATGGTCCTCTGTGGCACAAGGCTTCTACCAACCAAACCTGTCTCCTGACAGAGATCTACTTTGGGAGGATCAGGCCCCTCCTTAGACACAACTTCGTCATAGTGGTGGCTGAAGATGGAGCATTGTGGGACATTGTCCACTTTCCCAACATGCTCCAGGGCCCTTCTGAGCCCTTGGCGGGTTTGGGAGAGGATGGGAGGGAGGGTTGGTGCTGAGAGTGGGAGCCAGGCCCATCGAGGTCCCAGGGAGTGAATGCGGCATTGTTGGTCAGGCCAGAGTCACAGATAATTACCTCAATTAGTGACAATGGGAGAGTAATAAATACAGGCTTAGTGTCTCCTACCCCACCAGGGCTCCGAAGATTAATCCAGGCTGACGGGCGGGCCCTGAAAAGCGTGATGGACAATTCATTAAACTCCCCAAATGCCGCACAACCTGGGCGTGAAGGCTGAGTTAGCCCCCTGGGGGCTGCGTCTTTGTCCTGATTGTGTGTCTCCGACACAGCAGAGCCGAGCAGCCCCCAGAGAGTGGGGAGGTGAGTGGGGCTCCCCTAGCCGGGCCAGGCGGCAGGGGGATTAGGCCTCGGTCCGGCCCTGGTTGCCCTGGCATACTGGCCCGGCCTGGCTGGAATGTCCGTGTGGGAGGGAGCAGGACGAGCGGAGGGGCGGGGCGACAAGGTGGGGTAAGGGGGGCACACAAAACCAGGGGCAGGAGGAGTTAATTAGACGCCAGCCGAGGAGGGCGAGGGGCCACAATAGGGCTGAGGGGCTGCCAGGGACGGCCCCTTCACTTCCGAGGATTAATGGGGGGGGGGAGCTCAGCCCTGGGGGAGGAGAGCTGGAAGCTTCACAGGGTGGCACTGCCCCCTCTTGCCCTGCTGGGTATCTATGTGACAAGAGGCTGGAGGCAGGAGACTGGCCACCTGGGCAGGTGCCCTCAGCATCCCACAGAATGACTCTTCCTTACATGGCACCTACATAGGGAAAATGATGGGGCAGAGAGGGGAGGAAGCACCTCCTCATTTGTCAGGGAAGTAGAGGAGACAGGCATGTAATTTAGGAGCCCTGTTCTCAGCCCCTCTTCCCCAGTCCCCACAAAACCTACTCTGAAGCAGATTCCAGAGCCTGAAGCTTTACCTTCCCCAAGGAGGCTGCCAGGTTAAAGCCAGAACCTTCTGGCCTGTATGGCTGGAATTGATGTGAACACATAGAACTAGGGGTAGCTGCAAGTGTGCACAGGAGATTTTTGCCTTCAGGTATGCCTCTGCACCAGGCTTGGTGTTTGGCATGTCCTCAGTAAATGCCTGTTGAATGAATGAATGACCTTTTGATGAGAGTAACTGATGTGAAAAAAGGGAAGTGGTACTTGACTGCACCCTGACATATAGTGGGTGACTTTGGGCCCTTCCATACCGAACTTTCAGCCATGGCCAGGGAACTCCATTTCTGAGGAGATGAGCAAGTGTCTAGGGAAAATGGAGTAGCAGTGGTTCCTTCACCTGGAAAAGACAAAAAAAAAAAAAAAAAAGCAGTAGGCTGTTGGAAGCCCCATTTCCTCCTGGGCCTCAGGGAACAGGGCAGCCCTGGCTCCTCCTTAGAGCCACCCCACCCTACCCCCTCCCAGGGGATGACAAGGGAGAGTTGGCGGCAGTTCCCTGGGCATATTTATAACCTGCTGCTCCTCACCAGCGTCTGCTTTTAGCCCAGACGGGGGAGGGGGCAGGAGGGTGGTCTGTCTCATGCTGGGCGCCCCAGCTGGGTGTGGAAAGAGTGAGTAAGGGTGAGTGGTGGGCAGCTCTGCATGGATATTCCTGCTCACACCACAGCCAAACATCTTATTTTCTCCTCATTTTGTTATTTTTCTCTCTCTGTCCTGGAGAGGAAGACTGAGCCAGCCTGGGACAGGGGGTGGGGGGAGTGGACTGGACCCTAGGGTATTTGCAGCCCCACTGACAGGGTTTTTCCAGGGTGCGTGTGGCAGGGTGTGTGCGGGTGCCAGTTTGCTGACCCCCCAGGGACTACGAAAGACTGCTGTCTCAGTCCTCTCAGCTTTTCCACTCCCCTGAGGATATTTCAGGACTAGTACCTCCCTCATTTTCTGAGGCCAACCTTGTATCCAGGGTCCCTGCCAGCCTCAGATCCCCTTGGGTATGTGGCACCTGAAGATCAGAGGTGGGTGGGAGCCAGAGCATCAGGCACATTCCTGATGACATTATCCTGTGGCCACCACCCTGAACCACTCAGCCCTGAGACCTTTATGAGACTCTTTCTAGGCACAGCTGTTCTTTCCCCCAGGATCTACCCACTCTAGCCCCAAGTGAGAACAGCACAGATGATCATAATAATTAGTTCCTGTGCCATGCTTTGCGGATCCTGCACTCCTTTTACTTGTCTCCTACCCCATGCTGGGGATAGAACCCAGGACCTCCAGCATATTTGCCACTCTACCACTGAACTATACCCCCAGCCCTTTTAAGAGCTTTTTTCCCCCCTTTTATTAGCGCATACCCTATTAGGGCCCAGCCCTGTTTTGTACTTCCCAGAATATTCTGCACTTCCAGCCTCAGGAAGAGAAGAATCTCCAAGCTGAGGGCTTATGTATGGGAGTCTGTCTTTAAGCTTAGTACCTTAGTAAAGTCTTCAGGTACATGCAGAAGACTTTACACTTCATTGAGCCTTCATTGCACTCCCTCCCACCCTTTAAACTGCCAGTATCTGTTTATGTGTTTGATTCTCTGGCTGGACTGTAAACTTCTCCTTGCAGGAAATGTGGCTTGTACAACACTATATTGCCAGCATTTGGTGTATACCCAGTATAGAAGAAGTGTCAGTAAGCTTCAAATGACTGTAGCCTTCATGTACATGATCTCATCTGAACCTCATATCCTCCCTGAAGAATAAGTAACAATAACCTTTCCTGTTTAATGGTCAAGGCAAAAGAGGTTGAGAAAGCAAAAGACATTTACTGGAAACCCAAGGTCTTTCAGGTGTCTCCTACTCAGAATCAATAAGGGTTTTATTCTTCCCACTAGGCTGCCCATCAGAACTGAAATGGTGCTGCCTTAACCAAAGAAGAGAAAGGGAAAGGGATGTCCTTGCAGGGTTGAGCAGATCCTGGATCCACTTCCCTACCCCCACACACATCCCAAAGGCCAACAAGGGTCAGAGTTCATATACCCAGGGAAAGGTGGGAGGCAGTGACAACAGCAAAGGAGTCCTGGGGAGAGGGGGAAATTCTCTTGTTGGCTGGGACCAGTTGTTGCCCTTGGGGGGGTGGGGTGTTTCTTAGCTCCTGCTGCCCTTCTGGTCCTTCCCTGGAGAGGAGGGGTTAAGATTAGAGACAGACATTAGAGTTTAGGAAGGGGCTAGTGTTTGTCTGAAGTTAGGGTTCAGGCTAGGCTTCAGGCCTAGACCTGGGGATAGGGAGAGGATTAGAGTTAACATAGGTTTAGAACTATGGGCAGGATTAGCATTCCTGCTGACTCCAGTGAATGTGCACACAGAGGTAGCCTCTAGGAATTGTTAGTAACAGAATCCTCATTCTGACTCTTTGTGGGAATGGCCAGTTTAATGATTTGGTTATGGATCATACTTTGTCTCCTTTTGGTTTAGGGTGGTTTAAGCCTAGTCCACATTTGAATTCTAAACTTCCTGCTCCTTTCTTCTCTCCCATCATCATTCTGAGCTTTTTCTCAGCATGGAGATCCTTCTCTGAGGAAAAGAGTCAATAACCTGTTACCTGGATGCTCCTGCGTCCAAGGTATAACTGGGATTCTAAGAAGATATTTCCCTGTCTTGCAGAAGAAAGGGATGCTTCACCACTGCCCTAAACCTGGGTCCTAGTAGGAGTCAGGATTCAGGGAACAAGAGATCTACATCAAGGGCAATAGCATCTTTTCTACTTGGATGTCTCTTTCTACTCTTCAGAACATGGCCACAGTTATCACTCAGTTGTCTTCCAGGAGGAAAAGCAGGCTCAGAGTATGTTTAATCCCCATTCATCAAATGAATGCACTTGCCTATATCACATAGAAAGTTGCTGTTAGAATAGGAAGATGAGGGGGCTGGGGTTGTGGCTCAGCAGTAGAGTGCGTGGGACCCTGGGTTCAATCCTCAGCACCACGTAAAAAATAATTGGGGCTGGGGAGGTGGCACGCTCACCTGGCATGTGTGCGGCCCGGGGTTCAATCCTCAGCACCACATACAAACAAAGATGCTGTGTCTGCTGAAAAACTAAAAAATCAATATTAAAAAATTTTCTCTCTCTTTAAAAAAATAATAATTGAGTGAAATAAAGGTATTGTGTCCAACTATAAAATAAATATTTTTAAAAAAAGAATAAGAAGATGAACCCTGCAGGATGTTTAAACTTCTGACCAGTTTCTTCTGGAGACCTGGGTCCCAACTGGTCTCATTAGGTCATCCAAGGGTCAGAATTTCAGGATCTTCTTGCAGGTCCAGGAAACCAGTTCCCCAACAATATACCCTATTTGTTTAAGAGAAGTAAGTACCCAAATCTGGGAGTAGTAAGAGGAAGGTAAGGGGACACCGCAAACCATGTTGTGTTCTGGATTCAAGGAAACACTACCAAGTCATTGATAAAAATAGAGATTTTATTCTGCAGAGGAAGATATTACATTGGTGGGGGCGAGGAGCCACTAATAGCTACAGTGGAAGGAAATACTGATTCCGGTAGGCAAAGGCATCTTTGAGAAACAGGAGAGGAGAGAAAGTTGGAGGGCAAAAGGAGAGAAGAATGGAGAGGGACTGGGTTAGAGTGAAGGTGGTCTCTGCAAACCAGGCTGGAACCCAGCACAATAAATAATTTTATTTACAACAACCAAACTCGTGGTTTTATGTCCACGTTTCAGTGCAAATTATTTACACATTGATGAGGAGGCAGGACAGGAAAGGGTAGGAGGTGGTTGAGGGAGGCATGGCTCACAGCTGTTCAATGGCTCCAAAAGAGAGGCTGGGAGAAAGGGGGATTTTTTTTTTTGCTGCGTCCCCCACCTCATCTTCCACATCACCACAGCTGCCCTTTCACTCTGGAACCTCCTGGCTTCGGCTTCGCTTGAAGCAGGGAGGAGAATGGCTCTGATGCCCAGGTGTGTGTTCAGGGTCTGTTCCCATCGCTGGAGAGTGGTAAGGCGCCTGTAGGGATCAGGAGAATAGGGAGGACAAAGGGGAAATGAAAGAGGCAGAGAGGACGCTGGTGTAGTGTGGCACAGTCAGGGCAACAGCGTCAGGAGCTGACCCCGGGTAGGGTAGAGTACGAATCCTTCTCTCACCTCCAGGCCAAGCAAGGGGGCAGTGCAACAAGGGGTCTCCCGCGGAGAGGGAGGTAGGTAGGTTGGGGCAGGTCCATCAGGATGGCAAGAGGGTTCATGCCGCCCCACGCAAGTGGTTTGAGGAGTCCCCAGAGAGGAGGAGATGGGAGAGATGGGACACGTATGAACCGCGGGGAATGTGGCTGAAGATTTTGGAGCGGGCGAATATCAATCAGGGTCTTGAATGTCAGCGAATCTGTCGGGGGAAGTCTTGGAGGACAGCGTTCCCGGGCAAGTCTGCACATCGCCTCACAGACACTCGTGCAGTACGCGAGTGTGAGTGCAGTTGCGGCAGCTGACGTGGCAGCACCAGTGGAAGGTGCAGTTGCAGCGCTCGGTGACGCGCTGCGTGCGTGTGCGGTGGCCCCGGCCACAGCAAAGCAGCTCGCAACCGTCCAGCGCCGGTGATGAACTGTTGCAGGAGCGCCCTGCAGTGCCTGCTGTACCAAGGCGTCCACTGTATGTGCAGAAGTTGGGTGATTTCTCGAAGTAGACGAGGTCGTGAGGCGAAGGAGGCTTGTGCGCAGGGTCTTCCGGCTCTAGGCGCAGCAGCTCCGCCCGTGAAGCGCGGTTGCTACCGCGGTTGCCATAGAGTACACGCGATGCGCCATCGAAGCGGTCGCGCAGCACGTCGCCCACCGCACGCAGCGTGGGAAGCCGCATCCAGCAGGTGCGCACCGTGCATGAACCAGACATCCCATGGCACTTGCACTCCTGACGCATCTCAGAGAACACTGTCTGGGGTGGGGGGCGGGAGGGGGGGAGGAAAAAAAGATGTCCCAAGGCATTGTCAGTCAGAGCCCTTATTCCAGATACCGCCCCCTCCCGGACGCGGACGGGACCTCAGCAAAGTCCTAGCGGAACCCAGGAGAAGGCGCGAAATGTCCCTCTGAGATTTGGACACTTGGCCAAACTCAGCTGCACACTAGCGAGTCACTCTCGGCCTCTCTACCCTGTTTTTTTTTTTTAATCTCTGCAAAGGAGGGGCCATAGGCACTCCATTCTATGTGTTGTATAACTTGTATCTTCTTCCGTTCTATCTGCTCTCAACCCAGAAATTCCTTTGCTTCAGCCACTCTCTCTTTTTTGGCTTTTTTCCAAATCTCCTGCTTCCCTCAGGACGCCCACCCCTGGAGTCCTCATCTTACTACCGACTCTTACTTTCTGAGCCCGAGGTTAGCCTGGTCACTCAGCTTCGGGTGCTGAGCCTCTCAGGTCTACTCACCGTGCGGCCTGCCTCGTTGTTATGAAGGTTCATGAGGAAGCGCAGGTCCCGCCCCTTCTCCCCAGAGTCCACGAACTCCCGACCGAAGAGGCGGCCGAAATCAATGTTGTCACTGCAGCCCCCCCAGTGCCAATCGGGGCCTCCAGGACCGCGCCGCCGATAGTCGCATGTGCAAGACTCGATGGAGCCTTCTGAGCAGGAGCGCGCCACCGAATGGGTGACCCCAGCAGAGGTGATGGCGAAGATAAACGCTGTTTCCCTACAGCCTAGGGGTGAAGAGAGTAAGAATCAAGAGAAGGCGCTTGTGGTCCGGCCAGCGCCCTCCTTGAAGGGCTTGGAACCTTGGAGTCCCACGCCCGAATTTCACCCTTGGAGTCCTGAGGGCTAGACTAGCGGTAGTGTTGGAAACCTTATTTCTAGGTCTCACAGAGAAAACAGGTGCGTGGGCATGAACCCACCAACACTCTGGTAGTCACGCTTTACGGAGACTCTTCAGAACACTTTTTGGCTTTAGAGAGGAAGTGGGGCAGCACCAAAGAGAAAAACAAGAGAGGAGCGGAAGAACTTTGCATTGTCAAGACTTCTACGCAGCCCAAACAATCTACGCAGTTTTTGGCGTAGCAAACTTTGCTAAGTATGAAGCAAGACAACGCGAGCAGACAGCAGCTTCCCAGGAACTTCGATAGATTGAGGAAAGCGACCGTCATCCAGCGTGCACAACCTGGAATTCATTTTCTTTTGGTCAGTGGCCCAGAAAAGTTAAGCTTGGTGCCCAAAATATACAGCTGGAAAGCGCCTGGTAGAGTCTGGCCTGGAACTGGCGCTCCGCAAGAAGCAGTTAGGTGGGTTGATTGTGTGACCCTGCAGTGCCTGGGACATCTTCCCTGCGTTCACCGGCCTATGCCCTGGGGGTGACCCTGTATTTCCCCCGGTCCCGGAAGCGTCGACTTCCTGGGTACTCACCTCGGTTGACGATCTTGCCGAAGAGGTGGGGCCCCGGAGCAGTGGGGCAGTTCCAGCGGCGGTTCCGGAACTGCCACTTGCACTCCCGGACTGCGCTCTGCAGCCCACCGCTCACGCTGTGCAGGATCCCCGGGTTCTGGCGGATCAACCGCCGCTGCTTGCGGCTCAGCAGTTGCAGACTGGGCTCGAGCACCAGCTGCAGACTCTTGGAGTCGGTTAGCAAGTTCGTAGAGGAGGCTATGTTCACGATACCCCTGGTGGGACACACAATGGGAGCTCAGACTGGGGAAGGGGACCTGCACTCTAATCATAAAGAAGAGTTCCTAACCTCACTCCTCAGAACTAGGATTTTCTGAACATATCAATATACAGGAGCATGCACCTGACCTTTGGGAATATGTACCAGGAGAGTTCGGGGGAGATCAATTATAAGGTAATGTCTTTGTGCTCCCAGACTTACGAGTATGAAAGAACTGGGTATCCAGACTTTTGGGTGTCTAGTAATCCTAGGGGATTCTCAGAGTCCTGGGTCCAGGGACTGCACAGAAGAGTCATGGGGAACATGGAGACTGCAAGAGTACCTGGGCTTTCCCAGCCTCCTTCTGATCAGTACCAGGGAAGAAATCCTGACCTGCAGTTCTTGCCTAGGGGTGAAATGCCCAGGAGTCCTACCCTTTTCTGGCCTCCTTTCTAAGTGGACACCTGGTTCTTCACTTCTGATCTTTGGAAATCTGTGGTGCAGAGTATGAGGTTAAGACTGGGGCTCAAAAGGGAATGACAATCCTAGATGGGAGTGGGCTCCCCGACTGGGTTATGGTGGGCCTCTACCGGCAGATCATTGATCCCACTTCATCAGAAATGGAATCTCTGGGGCTGATGATACAGGTCAATGGTAGACCCATTGCTGAAGCATGCCCGAGGCCCTGATCCCTAAAACCAAAAAAAAAAAAAGGAAAGGAAATGAAATGGAATTTCTGGTGCAGCTCTGGGCTAGAGCAACCTTTGGTGTGGCAGAAGGAAGACAGAGATGGGGCAATGTCTGTGGACTGACGGGTCCCAGAGCATAGGAGCTGGAGGGTTGGCCCCTGGCTCTGTCCCCCAGAACAAGAGGCCACCACCCGACACCAGCTCACTTACCACCATCGGCCACTGCTGTTGGCGGCTAGGGCAGCGGGCAGAGCGGCCAGCACCAGTAGCAGAGTAGCAGAAACCCAGCTGGGCAGCAGCGCCCAGCGCCCCATGGCCTGCCTGGCCTGGCCGCTTCTGTGCTGCAGTTGCGGCGGCTTTGGCTGCTGCCCGCGACGGTGGGACCGGACGCGGCGGTGGCGGCGGTGGCGAAAGTTTGCAGTCTGGCTTTAACAACCCCGGAGGCGGTCGGCGGGCAGCATGGCTTGTGGTCCCGGCTGGTGGGCTGAGGCGGCCACGGAGGGCGGCACCGCCTCTTATACTTGCGGCGCTGGCTGGAGTGACGAGAGAAGGCTGCCCAGCCAGGCTGCACTGTGGCACCAGGGCGCACCAGTCAGGGGCGCAGACAATGGGCAGCGAGCGGGGCCGTGGCTCCCTCCCGTCTGAGCAAAGAACTGACGGGCTGACCGTCGGGGCTTACCCCCCCGCCCCCTGCCCGGTGGCCCCCGCCTCCAGGCCTGCACTGGCCGCCGACCCCTCCCCTTGGGACGCCCTCCCACGCGCGCGCCTGCCTCACTACTCTTCGCGTCCGGAGCCCGTCGGGGACCAGCATCCGCCAGGGGGCGCGGGGACAATGCGCTTGGGGAGAATCCCCAGGAGCCCAGACCGCCTCGCCAAGCGCGATGGGGCTGTCCCCTCGACGTCACCCTGACCCCACTGGTGTCCCTTCTCTACCCCATCCTGAGTGGTGGAAGGAAGGAAACCTGTGGTTCTGGCCAGAGACTAGGGAGATGCTTTCCCACCCAGGAACCCCCAACGGCTGGACAGAGAAGGAAAAGGGGGAGACAGGGACGTGGGTGGAGCTGTGGTCAGGGAAATCCCGAGGTTAGGATAGGAGTGGACTGACCAAACAGAGCCTGGCGGTGGAGAGAAACCTGAAGCAGCAGCAGGTTGCACATGTGAGCCAGAGGAAAGCACAAGTGGCTGTGTGTGCAAAAGTAAAAATGTACACTGTGTTCTGAAGGTGCATGCTCCTGTGTATTGGTATGTTGAGAAACTCCTAGTTCTGAGGAGTGAGGTTAGGAACTCTTTTCAAAGAATTTTGGACTCAAGTCAGAAGAGATCATCAGGGTTTTTTTTTTTTTTTTTTTTTTTTTGGTTACAGTTGCTGCCTGGGGCAGTGTGTCAGTAAGGAGGTGGCAGCTATGATAGGAGAAACCCAGAAGCTTGACTAAGGGATGCAGAGTGTCTGGTACTGTTGGAAGGTGGGTGGATGAGTGTGTGCATGAGAAGATTACATATGTGTGGATGTGTCACAGTCACCCTGTGTATCTTGTGTCATCCTACAGTGTGTCACCTTGTGGTATGTGTCAACCTGTGCATATCACTGGGGGAGAGAGCTGAACCTACAATGAAGTGGGTATGAAGATGAACCAGGCCTGAATGACTGAGTCTTTGGTGACTAGGATCAGAAAGCGTGGGCAGTGGAGCCAGCCATGGAGGCTGCACATGCCAGTAATCCCAGCTTCTGGTGAGGCTGAGGCAAGTTACTGTCTTCTCCTAAAATTCTGGTTCTTTCTGCTCTCACCACACATTGGTGCTTTGAGTGCCCAAGATAATCTTAACAATAATACACTTTTCTCTCCCAGGGACTTCAATTCAACTTCATGGCCATCATGGTTTTCTGTTGAAGAAGTGGTGCTGTTCCCTGTCTAGGGCATAGGGGGCACTGCCAGCTTGGTTATCATGCCTCAATGTCACTCAGAGATGACTCCTGGAGGGAAAGAAAAATCTCTTCTTTTACCTCTCTCCTCTCTCCCATTTTACAGAGGACCAATAAGTGAGGCAGTTGTACAGATCACAACTAATAAGTGATCAGCAATACAGCCATATTAAAGCCCAAACCATTTTGACTCAAAGCTTATGTTCTTTCTTGTTCCTCCATTTCCCAGGAGGATGGAGGAAAGAGGGGAAAGGCCCTAGGTCTGAGTCACATGGTATATGGTCTGCTTAAATTACTATTTTGATCAAATCATATTTTATCAATTGTTCCCTCTTTCTTTTTTAATTTTTTTAAGTTGTAGATGGACACAATACCTTTATTTTATTTTTTTTTAATGTGGTGCTGAGGATCAAACCCAGTGCCTCACACATGCTAGGCGAGCACTCTACCACTGAGCCACAACCTCAGCCCCCATCTTTCTTTCTTACATCATCAATTTATCTCTCTTTTGGAACACATCTATCAACATGCAAACATGCTGTAATATCTTCCATCTGAAAAATTCAAATGCTTTGTTTGATCTACATTATTGTCCAAGATTGCCCCATTCCTCTTCTTTTACTACAAAACTTGAAATTTTTATTTTAATTCTAGCATCAATTTATTTTCTTTCTACTCAAATTACATCTTTGCAGTGCTAGGGATGAAACTCAGGGCCTCATGCATACTAGGCAAGTGCTCTAACCACTGAACCACACTGATAGCCCCTTAGAAGGTCTCTTTTTAAAAATTTATCTTCTTCTTTTTAGGTATTAGTGATTGAACCCAGGGCTATTAACCACTGAGATACATCCCCAGCCCTTTTTTGTTTATTTTTGTTTGTTTGTTTATTGAAACAGGATCTCACTAAATTGCCTGAGCTGGCCTTGAACTTGTGATCATCCTACCTCAGCCTCCAGAGGAGCTGGAATTACAGGTATGTGCTACTGCCCCCAGCTCCAATCATATCTTTTAACTCACTATACTTCTTTATAAAAACTATTAATGAAAATCTGTATTGCTCTATCCAATAGCCGATTCTTAGTTCTTATCCTAGATAGCCATCCTGGAACAGCAGACACTGCTCAACAACAACAACCACAACTACTACTACTACTAGTTCTTCTTCTTCTTCTTCTTTTTTTTTTTTTTTGTACCTGGGATTAAACCCACAGATGCTTTACCACTCAATTACATCCCTGGCCCTGGGTCTCATTGAGTTGCTCAGGGTCTTGGTGAGTTGCTGAGGCTTGCTTTGAACTCATGACCCTCTTGCCTCAGTTTCCTGAGCGGCTGAGATTACAGGTGTGTGCCACTGAACCCAGCCACTTCCTTCTTCCTTCCTGTCATTTGGTTTTGAAATACTGTTCCTATCTCAATGGCATCTTCCCTTTCAGTCTCCCTACCTGGATGCTCCTTGTTTACTGAATTTCTAAACACTGGAGCATACCCAGGTTTAATTGACCTTCTTTTCTGTCTTCATGAATTCCCTTGGTAAACTTTCCAGTCTTATGCTTCCTAATTTATATCTCTATTCCTGAAATATGAACTTACACATCTAACACTTAAATAGCATCTCAAAATATACCTGTGCAAACTGAACTCTTGATTCCTCCATTGCCCTAACTTGCTCTTTCTTCAGTCATTTCCATCTCAGTAAATGGCAACTCCTTTGTTTCAGTTGCTCAACACAAAAATCTTGGAGTCATCCTTGACTCAATCTGCTTTATACTCTGAGTTAAGCCATCAGCAAATTCTGTCCCTCAATCTTCAATAGGTAGACTCTTATCCAATCTCACTACTCTACTGCTACATGCTAATAGGAGCCACCATCAACTCTTGCTTGCATTCCTGTAATAGCCTCCTATTTGATTCCTTGCTTCTACGCTTTTCCCCACAGTCTGTTCTCCATATAACACAAGGGGCCATCCTTTCTAAAAAGGAAGTCAAATAAGTTCATTACCCAGCTAGAAGTTTTCCAGTCATTCCTCATCTCACTTGAATCAAGCCAAAATCTTTACAGTGGTCTACAAGGCCTCAGGTGATTTAACCCTGTTCCTTCCTAGTACTCCAACTTTGTTGCCTACCATTGTCTCCCTTATGTATTCCTCCCCCTTAGCCATACTGACCTCTTTGCTGATTATTTGAAAACACCAAGAATGCTACCTTTTCAGGGTCTGTACACCTGTTTTTCTGTCTTCTGGAATGCCCTTCCTTAGATATCTCTATGCCTATGTTCTTTCACTTTCTCGTCTGTCCCCTTATATAAAATAGAATCCCATCATCAATCTCCTTTACCCTGCCTTATTTTTCCCTCTGTATCATCTTTGACCACAGATAACATTGTGTGTGTGTGTGTGTGTGTGTGTGTGTGTGTGCGCGCGCATGCATGCACTGGAGATTAAATCCAGAGCCTCAAGCATTCTAGACAAACATTATGTCACTAAGCCATATTCCCCACCCACCCACAGATATAAAAGCTTGAAATGAACCAGGCATGGAGATGCACGCCTGTAATCCCTGTGGCTCAGGAGGTGGAGGCAGGAGGATCACGAGTTAAAAGCCAGTCTCAGCAATTTAGTGAGGCGCTAAGCAACTCAGTGAGACCCTGTCTCTAATAAAATGCAAAAATAGGGCTAGGGATGTGGCTCAGTGGTCTAGGGCCCCTAAGTTCAATCCCCAGTACACCCTCCTCCCCCCCCCAAAAAAAGCTTGAAATGGAAAATCAGGAGAAAACCACCCTCCTGGAATAAGGATGGGGAGAGATGTTGGAGGGAGAGGAGCCTTGTTTTGACCTTGGGATCTGGGGAGGAAGAAGGGAATCAGGGAGTTTTGTGGACAGAGGAGTCTACTTCCTTTGAAGCAACTGCCTCTTAGGCTGGAAAGGCACAGCCCATCCATCAGCCCCGTGTAGAAAAGGGAGCAAAATTCCCTCTAGGGTAATCCTGAAGATTTGTTGGGGCCAACTGCCAAATGTTGGGGGGCTTCCCCAGAGACCACCAGAATCTGGCTGTGGATACTTTGGTGCCTCCAGGTGGTAGCCTGTGGTGCTGCAGCAGAATGTGTGTGTGAGGTGGAGGGTAGGCAGCACAGCTGAGCTCACCACCACTGAGCGAGCGCATCCATCCCTCCCGGGCCTATAATTTGGGTTCCCCCGGCCTGGCCGCCCCTATCAGCGGCTTAGCAACAGATGAGTCACCCAAGACCCTGGGCCAAGGCAAACATGAGGGGAGGAGGAGGAGGAGGTTCCCGAGGCTGTGACTGGGTTTAGCCACCGCCTCAGTTACTTGATTCCCCCAATCTCCAGGGGCCCCCACTTTTTTCTTTGACCCCCGCCCTCCAGGGCCCCAGTGTTCTTCCCACATTGTTCTGTTACACCCTCCATCCTCATGAATGGAAGAGCAGCCCTTTATTCTTCTCATTGAGAGGAATGGGGACCAGCTTGCTCCCACTCCCTTGCTGCAGTGATGACAGCCCCCCATTTGCCCCCTCCTGCCATAGCCCCAACCCTAGTCAAGGTCTCTCTGGTTCCTGCCCCTCCCCTTTCCTGGAGCTGGCCGCGTGCTTCGGGTATTAGGCAATGGGTGTGCACCCGCAGCCCTCTCCAGGCCCCGCCTGTCCCACCGCCCTCTAGCTGCCTGCGGGTCAGTGCTCAGGCCAGCCGGTCGGGCTGAGGGCACTGT